TGTCCCCATGCCTGGCAAATTGATACAAAATAAAATGCGTTCTTGGCACCCAGTCGGGAGGAGCGGATTGCCTTCGTGGGCCGCGGCCGGAGCTCATTTACAGTGGCTCAGGCGGGGCGTTCGGGGCCTCTTCAATTTGAGGGATACCTTGTCAGGCTGGAGGAGTAGTCGGAAGCGGAAGGCACAGCATGGAAGCCTAGTGTGTTTTGATTGCTCATATTTTAAACTGGGGAGTGTTAAGCAACTCTGCTGGAAAGGGAGGTCTCGAGACCTGGAAGCAGGGGTGTGAACACATAGCCATGGGGCTCAGTGCCCAGCCGGCCACAACCTGCCATCTCCCCAAGACCGCCTGGCCTCACGGACCCAGGCGATCTACACGGCGGCCACCTTATTCCTCTTCCTCCTCATCTGGGGACAAATGGCAGGGTCTTTGTGAAATGCAAAAGCTGGCCCTGCTTCTTGTCTCAGTCTTGGGGTTGCCGTCATGTTTGTGACAGCCCCGGGTCAGCCTGAATGCTGGCAGACAAGGCCCAGAGCACCTGGGACGCAACAGTGACGGTAGCCGAATTGGGGGAAGCCTAGGAGGGCTCCCTCCTTGGGCTTCTGGGACCCCAGACGCCCTAGCTACCCAGCTGCCTGCCCCGTGTAAAATTCCCACCTCGAGGAGGGAGGCTGTGTGGACAGAGCAAGGCCTGCACAGATGGGAAAGAGGGGAGAAAGGCTTTGGGGCAGTTTTGCTGTAAAGGGCAGAAGTCAAATGTCAGTGGGATGGGGTGGGTCAAGGCAGCATGATAACTAAAAATGTCTCCAGCTACCTCCAGATGGGCCTGGTGAAGGCGCCTAGCTGAGAACCAGTGGGTTTGTGGAGAGCAGGGCCACGGAGCTTTGCACTGGTGTTGATGGTGCCCAAGGAAAACAAGGGTGTGGAGGGAATGCTGGCCCGACTGGCCGTCATGGTCCCTCAGGGGAGGTGGCGCTCCTTCTCCAGGTGGCCACTGAGCCACTTCCTCCACGGCAGTTAGAACCTCTCCCTGAACTGCAAACGCGCTGACAGGCTGAGAAACTTGGCACGAAGAATGCCATGTCCCTGTCAGTTATTTCGGGAGAAGATGCCTGGACACAGGTGTGTTGTTTTGATTTCTGCCTGGTGAATTCTGCACCATACAAAACCCAGGGGTCCAAGGTCAGCCCCAGGGGTCCAAGGTCAGCCCCAGGTGGATTCTGAGTTAGATTGGTAGAGGGGTGCTCTGTACAAACACAGAAAAAGAAACAGTGATTTGTTGGGACAGAGAGAGTTCATTATAAAGAAAAATGTCAAACAGATGTCCCTTTATTGGTTTTGAGTTGTCAGAATATGTGGGAGTTGGGTGCCCGTCTCGCCTTCAGCAAAGTGTCTGACAGGCTCGCTCCCTCTTCAGAGGCAAGTTCAGAGACAGGAGTTGGACGCAGAGACGCGTGATTGAACTGGTCTCAGTGGCTGCTCCAAGAGGCTTCCAGGTATGAACTGGTGCATCTGGCAGTGGGAGGCTCTATCGTTAGCCCACGCCATTCAGTGCTTCTCCGACATGGATGGAGGTCCAGGGTGCATGCTGCGGGCAGCCAAGGACAGACACGCCACTGAAGAACAGTGAAGCGCAGGCCCAGAAAGCTCAGCATCTCAGCCCGTGCGCTCCAAGGACGCGGAGAGTCTGGAATGGCGGAGGTCAGAGAGCCAAGGCAAACCCCTGCCACGTGCCCAGCGTGTTGCGTGGGCTGTATAGCCCAGGTGTGCTCCAGGTACCTTAGGAAAACCCTGGATGATGGAGGCACGTATGCCATGGTGCTCAGCGTTGCATGACTCCCCACAGGGGAACCTGGGTGCCCGTAGTCCCCCTGGGGAGCAGGCAGGCTGCTGACACGCCGGTGACCGTTAGCCGAGTGCCCAGGTCCTGACTGGAGGGGCAGTCGGAGTCAGGTGAGCGGTGGCAGTTTGGGTGGTGGGGCGTCATAGACGTGCAGTGACAAGGAGAGGTGCACAGCTGGGGAGGAACGTGGCCTGTTGGGATGAGAGGACACCAAGGGACAGAGTGAGCTAAGCGGTGGCCCTGCAGTGGTGAGTGGGCGCATCAGCCATTCTCCCACCTGCTTCCAGGATGAGCAGGGAGCTCTCAGGGCAGGGACGGTCCCCGTGAGCCCATGGCCTCCTACCGTGCCCAGCACGGGGTGCATGCCCAACAGTTAATAGGGAGCACTGTCGGAAGGTGAAGACTCAAACTCGGCCAGGAAACATTTGAAAGAAGCAAATGTTCCCTGTGGCATTGGAGCACTGAGCCAGCACAGAGGGTTGCTTTGAGACCAGGTGGTGATATTGGGGTCTCTAGATATCTCCCCCGCGCTCGGACCGTCACATAGCTTCTGAACACTGTGAAACTGAACATACGAATTGGTCTAGGCTCCCTTCCCCGCCCCCAGGATATCTACAGCTTCCACCCTGTGCTCAGTAGGGACGGCGTGTGTAGACCTGTACGGAGAGGGCTGCAGCTTTCCAATGGCCTGCGCTGTGCAGCCCTCGGGCAACGTACAGGGTGAGACGCTGGAAGGACAGGCTGGGGGTGAGGACCGGGCAGAGGGCAGGCGGCACGTGGAGAAGATGTGGGAGTGGTGACCGTGGACCCAGACCACACGTCCACTCCTGTCACCAGCACGCTCTGGTTTTCCTTTTGATAAAGATAAAAGCAGATGAACGAATTGAGAGTTCTCACATTTGTGTACTGGTTTTCATGTTTCTAGAAGTAACTGCAGCAAGTCAAAAGTGGGCAGGCCGGCCCCCGGTGGCCATGCACGGTGCGCGGGCTCAGCTGCTGGGCCAGTAGGGCCTGCCGGTGCAGGCTTCACTGTATGTGGTCTCGACCGGGCCGAGCCTGTGGCAGGGGGCCCGGGGGGGCAGGCCCTCGCCAACGTAGGCGC